GTGGAGTCATCTGGGCCTGGGATTTAGTTTTGTTTCTGTGGAAGGTTTTGAATTATAAGTTCAGTTTATTTATTTAGAGACAGAGTCTGGCCTCTGTCACGGGTGCAGTGGCGCAGCAGTCTCTGCTCACGGCAACCTCCGCCTCCCGGGTTCAAGCGCTTCTCCTGCCTCAGCCTCCTGAGAGGCTGGGATTGCAGGCGCCCGCCACCACACCAGGCTGATTGTTGCATTTTAGGTAGAGACACGGTTTCACCGTATTGGCCAGACTGGTCTCAAACTCTTGACCTCAGGTGATGCTCCTGCTTCGGCCTCCCAAAGTGCTGGGATTACAGGCGCGAGCCACCGGCCAAGTTCCTTTGATTGAACGTACGTGGTTTTCGTTTCGATGGGTTGTGTGTATGCGGAGCTTACTGTGCAGTGCGTCGTTGGCCCTGTTGGCATCGGGCTGTCATCAGACCCTTGGGCACCCTTCCCAGGATCTGTGGGGCGTCCCCTTTTTGATTCCTGATAGTGGTGATTGGCATTTCCTCCTTTTTCTTGTCCCCCGGATCCGCCTTCTGAGGAGTTTTATCAGACGTGTTTCTCTTTACGGAAAACTCACCGTAGCCTTGTTCGTGTCTCTCTGTTGTTGGATTTCTGTTTTTCATTAAATGTGTGCTCTGAATGAAGAGACCCCCAGACAGGCTTTGTGTGAGCAACATGGCTGCTCATTCACCTGGGTGTGGGCGTGCTAGTCCCAAGAGGCAGCGCAGGGCAGCGGGACGGGAGTTGGTCTTGTAGCTTTGGGGTGGACAGTAGAAGGTTGCAGAAGTTACCGTTGAGGGCAGCTTTTGCAAGCTGGGAGGGGGCCGAAGGGTCTGGAGTCACGAGCTTGGTCTTGGTCAGCTACAGAGGCCAGTTGCCTCATCAGCTGAGGCGGGAATAAGGAACCGTAGAAACGTCTCGGGTTAATGAGGCCCCCCAGGGGCTGATCGCTCTCCTTCTTGTGGTTTTCCAGAACTCGTCTGGGGTGCACGTGTGGGTCACAGAGGTTACCCTGTGGGTCCCTAAGAGGCCTTACATGTTTTACTTTTTTTTTTCTTTTCTTTTTTTCTTTTTTGTGACAGAGTCTTGCTCTGTTGCCCAGGCTGGAGTGCAGTGGTGTGATCTTGACTCACTGCAACCTTCGCCTCCTGGGTTCAAATGATTCTCCTGTCTCAGCCTCCCGAGTAGCTGCGATTTCAGGCGTGCACCACCATGCCCGGCTAATTTTTGTGTTTTTAGTGGAAACGGGGTTTCCCCATGTTGACCAGGCTGGTGTCGGACTCCCGACCTCAGGCGATCCACCCGCCTCTGCCTTCCAAAGTGCTGGGATGACAGGCCTGAGCCACCGCGCCCGGCCCTCTAACCGGTGTTTAATTGAATTACTCTGGAGTCAGAAAACAGACTCTAATTTCAGTTCTTTGAAGTTAGTTGCGCCTCGCGTTGTGACCAATATTTAATCTGTTTTGGTCAGTGTTCTGTGTGCTTGGAAAGAATGTGTGTTGTGCGGTTGGTGGGTGGAGCTCTCCGTGCGTTCCTCTCAGTGAGTTGGGTAGCTGTCATTCACGTCGTCTGTATCCTCACTCGGGTGTTCGGCCGCATTTCATCTTTACCGAGAGATTTGTAGGGATCGTCTGTTTCCCCTTTGTTTCCGTCCGTTTCTTCTTCACATTGCAGCCATGTTATTGGGTGCACAGACCTTAAGATGGCTTTGTCTTCCTGTTGAATTGTTTCTTCTGTCATTGCGAAACGTCTTTCTGTGGTAATCCTGTTCTTACCGTACATAAGTACTGGACCTGCCATACATGTGACTCGGCAGCGTTTTCTAGGTTTGTTCAGTGTTTGCATGCCTTTTCCCGTTCTTTTTACCATTCTGTATTTTTTATTTGAGCTGTATTGTCTGTAAATGGCACGTTTAGGTCTTCTATTATTTTTTTGAGATGGAGTCTTTGGAGTCTAGTTGTGCAGTCTCCACTCACTGTAACCTCTGCCTCCCGGTTTCTAGCAATTCTCCCACGTGAGCCTCCAGAGTAGCTGTGATTACTGGTGCACGCCACCACGTCCAGCTGAGTTTTTAGTACAGATGGGGTTTCACCATGCTGACCAGGCGGGTCTCCAAAATCTAGACTCCAAGTGACCTGCCCACCTCGGCCCCTCAATGTATGCGCGAGGCACTGTGCCCAACTAGATTTTGTTTTTAATTCAGTCTGATGGTCATTGTCTTTTAATGGAGTTTTTAGTTCATTTGCGTTTTTTTTTTTTTTTTTTTTTTTTTAAAGATGGGGTTTCTCCATGATGGCCAGTCTGGTCTTGAACTCCTGACCTCAGGTGATCCACCCACCTCTGCCTCCCAAAGTGCTGGGATTACAGGTGTGAGCCACCACGCCAGGCCTCATTTGCATTTTTTAGGTCACTTGTATGTCATGTAATTGTGGAAACAAGTGTATGATGCCACTGTCTTGCCCTTTGCTTTTCTGTGTGGTACGTCTGCTCTTTGTTCTTGTTTTTTTTTTTAGACAGTTTCACTCTTGTTGCCCAGGCTGGAGTGCAGTGGCGCGATCTCAGCTCACCGCAACCTCTACCCCCTGGGTCCACGCAGCTCTCCTGCCTAAGCCTCCCGAGTAGCTGGGATTACAGGCGTGCGCCACCACGCCCAGCTAATTTTGTATATGTAGTAGGGAGGCGGTTTCACCATGTTGGTCAGGCTGGTCTCAAACTCCTGACGTCAGGTGACCTGCCTGCCTTGGCCTCCCTGAGTGCTGGGATGATAGGCGTGAGCCACCACGCCCAGCCTGTTTTTCTTTTTAATTTTTTTGTGTTTCCTTTTGGATTAATTAAGGAGCTTTGTCTCGTCCTCCGTTTCAGCTTACAGTTTTAGTTTAGTGCTTACCTTAGAGGTTACAACAGGAGTCCTTATCACAGTCTCCTTTAAGTAGAATGTACTCATTTGAAGTGGACTGTGAGGCTGTGTGCGGCGGCTCACACCTGTAATCCCAGCACTTTGGGAGCCTGAGGTCACCAGAGTCAAAATTCGTGGCCGACATGGTGAAACCCCGTCTCTACTAAAAATAAAAAATTAGCCAGGTATGGTGGTGGCGGGTGCCTGTGATCCCAGCTGCTTGGTAGCAGAATCACTTGAACCCTGGAGGCGGAGGTTGTGGTGAGCTGACACGGTGCCGCTGCACTCCAGCCTGGCGACAGAGCGAGACTCTGTCTCAAAAAAAACCCCCAAAAACACAGAACTACGTATCACAAGGCGATAACGTTGCTGTTTTAAACAGTGAACATTCTCTGTATTGACCCACGTGTATCCCTCAACCTCCAGTTGGGAGCACGTCCTTCAGCCTGAAGAACTTCTTTTCACTTGGCCTTATGCTTCCTTTCAGCATTATTTTGTCTGAAAAGCCTGGATTTTGCTTTCATTCCCTGAAGAATATTTTCATGGTCATATTTTTCAAGGTTTGCAGGGTTTTTCCTTTCAGCACTTAACAGTTCCCTTCCAGCATTCTTGGCTGCCGCTGTCTCTGTTAAAAATCAGAGCCTAGGCCGGGTGCGGTGGCTCACTCCTGTAATCCCAGCGCTTTGGGAGGCCGAGGTGGGTGGATCGAGGTCAGGAGTTCGAGACCAGCCCAACCAACATGGCGAAACCTTGCCTCTATTTAAAAACAAAAACACTCAGAGCCTGTCTTACTGTTTGCTTTGAAATCATTGTGCTGTCGTCTCTCCTAAGATTTTTTTCCTTTTTTTTTTTTAAACCGGTTTTACTGTGATGTGTGTGTGCACATGTGCCTCTGTGTGTCCTTGCGTTTGCCCGAGTGCCCCGGCTCTGGAGGTTGGCGTCCGTCTTCAGTCGTGAAGAATTCTTGGCTCTCATCTCTTCAGACTTTGTGCTGCCGCCTTTCTTGGTCTCTTCTGTGACTCGTCTGCGCGTCTCCAAGGTTGCCTAGCTGTCATAACGCCTGCCCCAAACGCCGCTCTGTCTTTGTAGGCTGTCGGCTTCTTTCTGACTCCACTCGTTGGGTCTCGTGCTGTGCTCAGGCTGCTGGTAAACCACTCCCCTGGCCCGTGCATTTTCCAGTCCTGGAAGGTCCTTGAGATTCTTCCGTAACTTCAAGTCTCTGCGGAGACTCTCCAGCTGATCCCAGATCGATGTCTTCGTCTGTGGACGCCTCGTGTTGGCTGTGTGTAGACATGTTTTCTGGTTTTATTTGGACACACGGTCTTGCTCTGCTGCCTGGGCTGGAGTGCAGTGGCGCATTCGTGGCGACCTCCTGGGCTCAAGTGCTTCTCCCACCTTAGCCTCCTACGTGGCTGGGACTACAGGCAGGTACCACCAGGCCTGGCCACTTTGGAAATTTTCTGTAGAGGTGGAGTGTGCTGGTCTCAAGCTCTGGCCTCAGCCAGTCCTCCCACCTCAGCCTCCCCGAGTGCTGGGGCTGCTGGAGTGAGCTTTTTTCCCTCGCGTTTCCCCACCCTTCACGTGCTAGGCTTTTCTCCAGAGATGGCCTCTTTTCTTGGAGACCACCTTGGTCCAGGCAGGGCTCAGGCGGTGCCTGTGGAGATGGAGAGAGGTGGCTGTGGGGTCTGCCCTCAGGGACCAGGAGAGGCCCCGCCTTGTGGGCACAGCACCAGCCCGGGAGCTGGTTGTGTGTCAGCCCCCGGTGGTAGAGTTTCCCGTGGGAGCGGTTTTCCCGTGTGCGTTTCTCGCCGTCTTCCCCTTGCACTGATGGCGTTCGTTATTCGTTGGTTTGCGTTGTTTGGGTTCCTGTGCCTCTTTCCTGGATAATCGAGAGGGGCCGGCACTTGTCCCAGACTTGGCCCTGAGCTCTCCGCTGCCTTGTCCCCGGCCACGTCCCTCCCTTTGCTGAAAGCTGACTGCATCTGAAGTTGTGGCCCTTTCCTCCCCTGTTAGCCCATCCACCCCCTGCACCAGCTGCCGGGGGCAGGACGTCTCCCCAGCGCTGATGCACATTCTGGCCATGGCTCTTCTGATCCCGCGGTTAGAGTGCGATGGTGCCTGTGGGGGTTCCCGCTTGTCCACGGGACCCAGGCCCCAGCTGCCTTCATCCGCTGTCTGGGGTCCGCACGCCTCAGCTGCCTTCATCCGCTATCTGGGGTCCGCAGGCCCCAGCTGCCTTCATCCGCTGTCTGGGGTCCGCAGGCCCCAGCTGCCTTCATCCGCTGTCTGGGGTCCGCAGGCCCCAGCTGCCTTCATCCGCTGTCTGGGGTCCGCAGGCCCCAGCTGCCTTCATCCGCTGTCTGGGGTCCGCAGGCTCCAGCTGCCTTCATCCAGAGTCTGGGGTCTCCTTCCTGCTCTGTCAGGCCCCCACATCTTATACCTGTGCAGCCTGAAGCCAGCCTCGCCTCACTGGGGTCACTCCTTACATCCCCCTTTGCAGAGCCCTCGCTGGGAACTCCCCTGCCCCAGATCTAGGCTGCCTGCAGCTTCCTCTGACCCCTTGGCTGGATCAGGCGCCCCTGCTGACTGCTCATGGCTGCCTGCGTTTGGTCATGAGGATACAGGCCTGTGTCTGGCTCCTGGAGCCTGCTCTGGACCCAGCCTCACCAAGCCCAGGAGGAGCCAGTGACAGTGCCCCCAGGGAAGGGGGTGGTGTGTCCCAGCATGTGTGGGTGCAGAGCGGGTTCCTGCAGCGTGACCCTTGCCCTCTGGTTGTGCAGTCTACGAGAACGAAGACCAACTGCTCTGGGATCCCAGTGTCCTCCCCGAGAGGGACGTGGAGGAGTTCCTGTACAGGGCCGTGAAGAGACAGTGGCACGAGACGGCGGGGTCTCAGCTCCCGGAGGGAGAGACCGTGAAAGACAGTGAGCAGGTGGGCGCTCCCGTGCTCGGGACAGGGGCTGAGGGGCAGGGAGGGCAGAAAGGAAGCCACGGGTCAGGCGTGTGGGGGCCTGGGTGTCAGAACAGCCACTCAGATTGGGAGGGGGCCAGTTAAAACCACGTATCAGAGGAGGCGCAGACGCTTCCCGATACCTCTGCAGGGGGATGTAGATACCCTGAGATCTCTCCCTGGATGGAGGTGTAGACAGCCCGACATCACCCCGATGTCTCTCCCTGGATGGAGGCGTAGACGGCCCTGACATCACCCTGAGATCTCTCCCTGGATAGAGGCGTAGACGGCCCCCGACATCACCCCTGATATCACTCCCTGGATAGAGGTGTAGACGGCCCTGACGTCACCCCTGATATCTCTCCTTGGATGGAGGTGTAGACGGCCCGACATCACCCGATATCTCTCCCTGGATAGAGGTGTAGATGGCCCCCAACATCACCCCTGATATCACTCCCTGGATAGAGGTGTAGACGGTCCCGACATCACCCCTGAGATCTCTCCCTGGATGAAGGTGTAGACGGCCCGACGTCACCCCTGATATCTCTCCCTGGATAGAGATGTAGACAGCCCTGACGTTACCCCTGGGATCTCTCCCTGGATAGAGGTGTAGACGGCCCTGACATCACCGCTGACATCTCTCCCTGGATGAAGGTGTAGATGGCCCGACGTCACCCCTATCTCTCCCTGGATAGAGGTGTAGACGGCCCCTGACGTCACCCCAGTATCACTCCCTGAATAGAGGTATAGACAGCCCCCGACATAACCCCTGAGTTCTCTCCGTGGATAGAGGTGTAGACAGCCCCCGACGTCACCCCTGATGTGTCTCCCTGGATGGAGGTGTGGATGGCCTGACGTCACCCCTGAGATCTCTCCCTGGATGGAGGTGTAGGCAGCCCCCATGTCACCCCTGATATCTTTCCCTGGATAGAGGTGTAGACGGCCCATTGTCATCCCTGATGTCTCTCCCTTGATGGAGGTGTAGACGGCTCTGACGTCACCCCTGAGATCTCTCCCTGGATAGAGGTGTAGATGGCCCTGATGTCACCCCTGAGATCTCTCCCTGGATGGAGGTGTAGATGGCCCGACATCACCCCTGATGTCTCTCCCTGGATGGAGGTGTAGACGGCCCTGATGTCACCCCGATCTCACTTCCTGGATAGAGGTGTAGACGGCCCTGACGTCACCCCTGATGTCTCTCCCTGGATGGAGGTGTAGACGGCCCTGACATCACTGGCGATGAGTGGTGTGGGCCGCCCTGGATACCACTCCTGGTGGGTATAGACGGTTCTTGCTGTCAGCTCCTGGGGTGAGCCCATGGGAAGAGTCTGCACATCTTCTCCCCAGGCGCTGTACGAGTTGGTAAAATGCAACTTCAACGTGGAGGAGGCCCTGCGGAGGCTGCGGTTCAACGTGAAGGTGATCCGAGGTGAGCGGCGTCCGGGCGCGTTCCTCCGCCGCCCCGCCCCGGACGCAGCTGACCTGTCCCCCGGCCGTTTTTGCAGATGGACTCTGTGCTTGGAGCGAGGAGGAGTGCAGGAACTTTGAGCACGGCTTCCGTGTGCACGGGAAGAACTTTCACCTGATCCAGGCCAACAAGGTGCGGATGCCGCTGTCCTCCTCCTGCCAGGCTCCGTGTGGGTGGGTGGGGCCCTCCGTCTGGTGGGGGGCGGGCTTCCTGATCTGGGCGGTGTTCTCCATCTGGGGAGGGGATTCTGCATCTTGGAAGGGGCTTGATCTGGTGGGTGGGTTCTTCATCTGGAAGGGGCTTCTCCATCTGGGGAGGGGCTTCTCAGTCTTGGCAGTGGCTTCTTGATCTGGGGGGGTTTCTCTCTGGTGAAGGGCTCCTAAGTCTGGGGAGGGGCTCCTCAAGTCAGGGGAGGGGCTCCTCGGTCTGGGGAGGGGCTCCTTGGTCAGGGGAGGGGTTCCTCGGTCAGGGGAGGGGTTCCTCGGTCAGGGGAGGGGCTCCTTGGTCAGGGGAGGGATTCCTCGGTCTCGGGAGGGGCTCCTCAGTCAGGGGAGGGGCTCCTCGGTCTCTGGAGGCTCCTCGGTCAGGGGAGGGGCTCCTCGGTCTGGGTAGGGGCTGAGGGTCAGCAGGCCCACAGCACACGGCTGACTGCAGGCCTGAGCCCTGTGTCTGCCTCCTCACTACGTGCTCATTGCCGTCTTCTGTAGTTTCCTCTACTGACTGCTCTGGGCCCCTTTCCAGTCCCCAAAAGAACAAGGCTCTGGTTTTGGGAAGGAATGTGCCAGAAGTGGGTTCCGGTAGGCGTTTCCGTCTCACATTCCGCCTAGCACCATGGGCGCCTCATTTCCATGCCCGTGTCCTCAGACGGGAGCCTGCTGGCTTTGTGCCCCTCACTGACCCCACAGCGGGACCCTGACACCTGACACCTGGGGACCAGGGGTCTCAGGGTTCCCTCCAGGGACCCGGGTCCTTCTGCCACCCAGGGAAGACCCTCACGACAGGTGGGTCTTCCTCTGCCCCTCCCTCTCTCTTGGCCTTGTCCTCTGTGCGTCTCTGCACGTCCTGCAGGAATGCCATCTGTCCTGTGGCTCCTGGAGTGATGAGGTCCAGCTGTGATAACAGAGCGACTTAGAAGTTCCAGATTCCAAATTCAGAGTCCTTTATTAATTAGCCGGCGACCAAGAGTCAGCTCATGCTCAAAGTTTCCCGGCCCCGAGGAAGGGGCTTGATTTAGGTAGGGGAGGGGAGCCTAGCTGAAGTGGATTTTACAGAAGCAGAGCGGGCGAGTGAGCTGGTAACCAGCGGGAGGAGGTTCCAGGATTGTTAGTCGCTAAGGGTATTTCTGGACAATCACCAACACGGCTTCAAAGAGAGTTGCACACAGCAGCAGGTGCGCTTGTCAGGCAGGATGCAGTGACATTGTCACATGGTGGGATGAGCAGAGTCAGCGTGGCCCAGTTACGCTCCCGGAGGGGCTGGGGTCAGGAGCGGGGAGCTCGGAGTTTACAGCTGAGATGGGGTCAGTGATGCCGGCCCAGGGCAGGTTATTACACAGCCTCTTGCCAGAGTCAGACATCTCTGGCTGAAAACCTGCCTGTGGCTGGCCTGTGGCTTCTCCTTCTCTGTCCACACCCCTCTTGGGCACTCAGTCCCTTCAGGACCGGCGGGTCTTGTGTCCCGGGGCCTGATGCCTTCCCCTGAAGGGAGGAGGCGCCCGCCGCGGCTGATTGTGCAGCACAGGGCGTTCCTGTGACTGCGGGGCGGCCGTGGACTGTCCTCGTGGAGTTCAGCGCCACTTGGTGCTTGGATTGGAGGCAGCTGGGATGGGTGTGGCCGCAGGGCAGCAGGGTTGCTGGCTGTGTTTCTGTAGCTCCGGGCGGGGGCTGTGTGTAGCCAGCACACGATGGTTTGCTGTGTCTGGAATGGGACTGGGAGCCGGTATTCATCTCAGCCTGGCCTTTTCCCGGGCGGCTCCCTCATGGCGGGCACGTAAGGGTTGCCCTCTGGAGAGGTCGTCTGGGTCTCACTCCCAGGCAGGACCCCATGCTGTGCTTGCCGGGGGAGCACTGGGTGTCCTGGTTCTGGTGGTGGTGGGTTAGTTAACCAGGGTGTGTACAGGTGAGGGGTCTTTTCCGCCTCCTCAGTGGGGGCCTCAGCCTCAAGCTCACTGTGGGACCGGCCTCCTGGGTGGAGAGGCAGGAGATGTCGGCAGGTGTGCATCCAGCTCCGTGCCAGGTGCTGCACGGAACACGCTTGTCCCGTGTCCCTTCTCTTCTCCCTGACCGCCTTACGTGTGTGTTTGGGCCTTTGTGTGCTGCGTTGTGAATTTTGAATCAGGTTCACGGAACCCGTATGTCCTTCCATGGTGTCTGGTGTTACTTGGGAAGCACTCGGCGCTGGAGGGATGTGTTTGGTGGGAAAGCAGGCCCTGTGGGCTTGTGCGTCCTCCTCCCGGGCGGGGGCCCTGTTCAGGAGTCTGTGGACCCTGCAGGGCCCGTGTGTGTGGCTGATGCTACAGAAAGGAAAGAGGGGTCTCAAGCCAGGAGCCGGGGGGCTCTCCAGGGGCTTGGAACAGGAGTCAGTACCACATGCTGCAAGCCCGCATTCGCTCATGGTGGGCATAGCCCGTGGGCCTGAGTAGGGTCATGGGGGTCTTGCATTATCTGAGCTCAGTGGATGCTGTGCTCTGAGAGTGGTGGGTGCCGTCCCAGGAGACGTCCTGGGTTGGGGGTGCAGGTGCTGGCGGCTGGGGACAGAGGTGACACCTGGCCCCTCCCCGCAGGTGCGCACGCGGTCCGTGGGCGAGTGTGTGGAGTACTATTACCTGTGGAAGAAGTCCGAGCGCTACGACTACTTTGCCCAGCAGACGCGGCTGGGCCGGAGGAAGTACGTCCCGTCTGGAACCACGTGCGTGCAGCTCCTCCCCAGCAGTAACCGTGGGAGGCCGCCCCACCGGGGGTGGGCACCTGGGCTCCTGGGCAGGGGCGTCCCTTCTCTCAGCTGCCCCGGCCCTTCATGGCGCCCTCTTCGCACAGGGACACGGACCAGGACCTGGATGGCAGTGACCCTGACGGCCCCGGTCGCCCCCGCCCTGAGCAGGATGCCCTGGCTGGGATGCACACAGGTGAGGCGTGGGGGTGTCTCCTGCCTTGGGGGTGGCTGCCAATCTGGAGCTGCGAGGCCTGGTGGAGCCCCTCGTCCCCGGCACCCGGGTTTGGTGGGCGTCAGGGTGGTTGAGGGCCCGCCACGTGGTGTGGATATGGCTCTGCGCACCTGGCCGGGAGAGGGGAGGGGCATGGGCGGTGCCTACCTGGGCTTGCTGAAGGGGTGTCTCTGGCCCACCCCCGGGGAGCCCCACATGGTCAGGGGGGTGCTCTCCAGGCCTCAGTGTCCTGGGAGGGCCTTCCTGCCCCTTGCTGGGGACGTCGCCTCAGTTACTGGGACACTCAGGAAGGACAGGGTGTTGGAGCCGTTGCCGGCATCTTGCACGTGAGGCCACCACGGACCACGCTGAGGCCTCGGGGGGTTCTCACCGTCTCCGAGGGTGGAGGCCTGTGGGGTGGGTGGGGTGCAGACAGGGACCCTTTGCTTCCTGGCCCTGCGTTGAGATGGTGGAGTCTCGGGAGGGTCGCCCCATTCCCAGAATCCAGTTGTTCCGTGGCTCGTTTGCCCAAGGGTGCCCACATCTCCCTGCTCCCTAGTTCACTGCCCCGAATTCACCGCCCCAAGCTTCATTCATACCCAAGTCTGTTGTATTCTGCTCTGGTTTTAAAGATGTGGGTTGTGACCCATTCAGTGATTTATGACCTTTTAAAGCTGGGGGCCTCAACCTGGGATCTCACAGATGTCAGCGTAATTGGTTTGTTTTGTGTTTGTGCAGAGGCTTTTTTGAGGTCCACAGGCTTTGCTGCACCCAGCAAGGTTAGGTGGGCACCCGCCCGGTCCCCAGCCTGCCGTGCAAGGTGACTGAGCAGTGCAACGTGGCTGCAGCCCAGTGCCTGTGGGCAGGCCCCACTCTTTGCTGCCTTCTCTTTCACAGAGCCCCTGAGCGTGGATGGCACAGCCGGTGGTCTCGGTGAGCCTGGAGTGGCCTCTGGTGGACCCCCGTCCTCGGAGCCGGGGCCCTGTTCCTTTCAACAACAGCTGGATGAGCCGCCCGCTGCGCCCCTGCCCCGTCTGCCCCCAGCCCCGGCCGACCCAGCCTCATACCTGCCGGCCGTCGGTGCTCCGGAGCCGGACGCCAGCCCAAGGCTGGCCATGGACTTCGCCCTGCCCGAGGAGCTGCCCCTCATCCCCAGCCATGTGGACCTGGGCGCCGACCCGGAGGAGACAGTGGCCCCTGCCCAGGTGGCTTTGTCGGTCACCGAGTTTGGACTCATCGGCATTGGGGACGTGAACCCCTTCCTGGCTGCCCACCCCACGTGCCCGGCCCCCGGGCTACACTCGGAGCCCCTGTCACAGTGAGTGCCGCCCAGCCCCCAGCTGAGGTCCCCCCAGCCCTGGGGCAGAGCTGAGGAAGGGGAGGATCTGCCCCGAGGGTCCGTGGACAGTGTGGCTGCAGGAGCAGGCCCTTGGTGTTTCTTTAGGTTTCTTCTCCACTTGTGATTTGATTTCTGCATTTCCCACTAGAGGACACATTCCCGTGGTCCACGCTCTCCACAGACGGGGCAGGTGCCGGGCTCTCCCACCCCTGCCCCAGCCACCAGCTCCCCCAGAGCACGGGGCCCTGCTGCTGTAGGGGCTTGTTCAGGCTGCTCGCACCAGCATGGGTTCTGGAAGGCAAGGCTCAGTCAGCCCCCGGCACCAGGCCGTGTGGATGCGTGGGCCTCACTGACACATTGTGTAGGTTCTGGGTGGGGGCAGGGCTGGGAGGCTCGAGTCAGCCCCCGGCACCAGGCCGTGTGGACGTGTGGGACTCACTGACACTCACTATGTAGGTTCTGGGCAGGGGCAAGGCTGGGAGGCTCAGTCAGCCCCCGGCACCAGGCCATGTGGACGTGTGGGCCTCACTGACACTCACTGTGTAGGTTCTGGGTGGGGGCAGGGCTGGGAGGCTCGAGTCAGCCCGCGGCACCAGGCCGTGTGGACGTGTGGGCCTCACTGACACTCGCCCGTGTAGGTTCTGGGAGGCAAGGCTCAGTCAACCCCCGGCACTAGGCCGTGTGGACGTGTTGGCCTCACTGACACTCACTGTGTAGGTTCTGGGTGGGGGCAAGGCTGGGAGGCTCAGTCAGCCCGCGGCACCAGGCCGTGTGGACGTGTGGGTCTCACTGACTCTGCTTCTCTTTTGGTCTCCCCTGCAGCTGTAACGTGATGACCTGTTGATTCCTGGCCGTGGGCGGGCGTGTGTGGCCGAGTGGACTTGGCGCTGCTGCTGGCCCGCCTCCGTCGGTCTTCTGACCCCTACCCCCTCTCAGGCCTCGGGGCAGCACCTCCTCTGCTTCAGAACTCGTCGGGACTGGGGTGAGGGCCTGGGCCGTGAGCCCCTGCCCCCGACCACACAAACTGGACCCAGGGCCACAGCCAGCACCGTCGGCGCCCAGCACTGCCGCCCGGGTCCAGGCTGCCGCCTGCACGTGGGGTCCATCCGGCGGCCAGGGACAGAAAGACTCGGCGCTGGGGACACCGGGCAGAGCCGGACACCTGGTCTCTTCCAGCTAGCAGAGGCGAGGGAAGGGGCCGCTGCCCCGGCGGGGAGACGGCAGGACGCCCCGTCCCGCACCAGCAGCCTCCGCCGGGGCGCCCTCAGCTCCCTGCTCGGCTCTGTCTCCACACTTGGCAGGGCCGCGGGCTGCCCCAGCCAGGGGGTCGTGGCAGCTGCTTCTCAGTGCCAACCCCATGGGGCACAGAGCCATATACCTCGCTGTCCGGCGACCCCAGCCTCGCCACCCACCCCGTCGTCTCCACTTCAGGAAAAGCCGCACTTTACACCGCCACCTGCCTCCTCCCCTCCCTCCCTGCTCCCCGATCCTGAGCGGTTGGGGTGGGGGCCCCTCAGCAACCCCAGACGTGGGTTTGAGGAGACAGGTGGCTTACACCCCCTTTGCTGCCCTCCCCCAGTACCAAGGCAGGGTCCCCAGAGGAGCCAGCCGCCCTCGCCGCCACGCGGGCCCGACTCCAGCCCGCTTGCCCAGCCCTGCAGGCGTTTCTTCTGTGGGAGCGCCCCGCACGCTGGCTCGGAGTCCCGTCCTCCCCGCCCTCGTCTGTCTGTTTACACGTTGGAGTGGGGTCCTCCGTGGGCGGGTGCTGTCGGCCCCTTGTGCCCGAGCACCTTTCCGAGTGGACTCGACCATCCCTCACCCCCCACCAAGGACCACACTGTGAAGTGATAACTGCCTTGAACCCCCCTTGCTGTTTTATTTATTAAACTTGATTTGAAGCCCAGGGCGCCGCATGGTGGGCTGGGTGGGGCTAGGATGGCGGGTGTCCTTGTCCTCTCCCTCTGTTCAATGATCTGGGGTGAGTTGTGACCCATGCAGGCAGGGGGTCCAGCGGGGGGACGGTGTGGTTGGCCACGTGGCGGCCGCTCGGTAAGAGGAATGGAGGCACGACGCCAGGGTGTGTGTGAGGAGGCCTGTGTCTGCCTGGAGGTGGTCAGGGCAGCGCCCGGGAAGTGACATTTGAGCTGAGCCTGAAGGAGGACGGGCCTGCGTTGCCGAAATTCAGCAGAGTCCTGGCAGTTACGACGGCAGACACGGAGGCGGCAGGCCTGGGCTCCCAGAGGCTGCGGGCACGGAGGGCGGGCGCGCGGGGTGGGCGCCGTGGGTCAGGAGGCTGGTTTTGTTCTTGGGGTGGCAGCTACTCGAGGTCTGCGTTCGCAGCTCTGCAGGGGCTGATCGGACCGTGTCGGTGGCATCCTCCCCTCGTCAGTGAGGGAGACGCGGGCATGCTGACGGCGTGTGCGGAGGCCTGCGTGAGCCTGTGAGGGGCCAGCCCCGGGTCGGGAGGGTAGGAAAGGAGAGATGGGCCAGGACCACTTGTGTGATGGGCCTGGGAGAGTCAGGGCTCTCTGGGGAGCTGGCGCCGTGAGCCGTGAGACCCAGTGCCAGCCGCCGGGCAGCCTGGGGGTGTGGGGATGGGCTGTGGAGCGGGTTTTGGTTTTTGAGATGGAGTCTCCCTGTCGCACAGGCTGGGGTGCAGTGGCCTGATCTCGGCTCACCGCCACCTCCGCCTCCCGGGTTCCAGCGATTCTCCTTCCTCCGCCTCCCAAGCAGCTGGGATTACAGGCACGCGCCACCATGCCCAGCTAGTTTTCGTATTTTTTTTTTTAGTAGAAACGGGGTTTCATCCTGTTGGCCAGTCTGGTCTGGAACTCCCGACCTTGTGATCCACCCACCTCGGCCTCCCAAAGTGCTGGGACTACAGGCGTGAGCCACCGCGCCCGGCCCGGTTTTCGTTTTCCTTCAGACGGGGAAGCTGTTCTGTCTTCTGGCTCGCCCTGCCTCCCGAGGGAAACCTCTCTGGTTTCTCTCCCCTGAATTTGAGCAGTTTGATCAGGACGTCCTGTGGTGGACACAGACAGTGTCCTTTGAGGCCGGCCTCTTCCATATTCATTTCAGGCCCCTCCCTATCTTTTTGTGGCTCAACAGCCTATTTCTTTCTTTCTTTTCTTTTCTTTTTTTTTTTCTTTTTTTGAGACGGAGTTTCACTCGTTACCCAGGCTGGAGTGCAATGGCGCGATTTCGGCTCACCGCAACCTCCACCTCCTGCATTCAGGCAATTCTCCTGCCTCAGCCTCCTGAGTAGCTGGGATTACAGGCACGCGCCACCATGCCCAGCTAATGTTTTGTATTTTTAGTAGAGACGGGGTTTCACCATGTTGACCAGGATGGTCTCGATCTCTTGACTTTGTGATTCACCCGCCTCAGCATCCCAAAGGGCTGGGATTACAGGCTTGAGCCACCGCGCCCGGCCTCTTTTCTTTTTTTGAGATGGAGTCTTCCTCTGTTGCCCAGGCTGGAGTGCAGCGGTGCGATCTCGGCTCACCGCAACATCTGCCTCCCGGGTTCAAGCGATTCTCCTGCCTCAGCCTCCTGAGTAGCTGGGACTACAGGTGCGCGCCACCATGCCCAGCTAATTTTTGTACTTTTTTTTTTTTTTTTTTTTTTGAGACGGAGTTTTGCTCTTGTTACCCAGGCTGGAGTGCAATGGCGCGATCTCGGCTCACTGCAACCTCCGCCTCCTGGGTTCAGGCAATTCTCCTGCCTCAGTCTCCTGAGTAGCTGGAATTACAGGCACGCGCCACCATGCCCAGCTAATTTTTTGTATTTTTGATAGAGACGGGGTTTCACCATGTTGACCGGGATGGTCTCGATCTCTCGACCTCGTGATCCACCCGCCTTGGCCTCCCAAAGTGCTGGGATTACAGGCTTGAGCCACCGCGCCCGGCCTAATTTTTGTACTTTTAAGTAGAGACGCCGGCTTCAGCGGTTACGGTCCACGTCCGCTCTCACGCTCTGCTTATGTACCTGGTTTCTGTTCTCAGAAGATAATCAATAATAGTAACATAACCTTCATGTCCTTCATATTTCTGACAAATACGTGAACTGCGCTGACACGTTCGGTTTTCTCCCGGCCTCGGCTACGTGAAAGTCCTGGGCCCCACCATCTCCAAGACATGAGATTTATGTGACCTGTCACCGACCACCATGACCGCCCCTGACCTTCGCTGCCCACTGCTTTGTACTCAGTAAATTAGGTCAGAGCGTCCAGGCACTCGGGGCCACTGCAGGTCTCTACGCTTCCACTGGCCGTGGACCGCCAAACTCTTTTCTCTCTCTCTGTGTCTGTGTCTTTTATTTCTACAGTTTCTCATCTCTGCACCTGCAGGGAGGGACTCACAGAACCCTATAGGGCTGGACCTTATAAATACAGAATCTCTTTGGACCATATACATGATTTTCTTGTATTTTTTGGACTTTGACAGTTTGTGGTGTACCTGGGTCTAGTTTTCTGAACTGAGTGACGTCAGCCTGAGGATGGGTGCATTTCAACAGATTTTGAAGTCTTGACCGTGATTTCTGAAAATGTTTGTTTTCTTTTTTTTCCTCAGAATTCAGTTTCTGGGAGAATATTTCTCAAATTTTTCTGATTTTCTGCTCTGTCTTCCTTTTGGGTCTCTGGTATATGTGCCATGTGCTGGGGTATCATCCCACAGGTCTCTGTAGTCACCTGTATCACGGCCGTGGTGACCCACGGGTCTCTGCGTTCACCTGTATCACGGCCGTGGTGACCCACGGGTCTCTGCGTTCACCTGTATCACGGCCGTGGTGTCCCACGGGTCTCTGCGTTCACCTGTATCATGGCCGTGGTGTCCCACGGGTCTCTGCGTTCACCTGTATCACGGCCGTGGTGACTCACGGGTCTCTGTTCACCTGTATCACGGCTGTGGTGACCCATGGGTCTCTGTTCACCTGTATCACGGCCGTGGTGACCCACGGGTCTCTGTTCACCTGTATCACGGCCGTGGTGACCCACGGGTCTCTGTTCACCTGTATCACGGCCGTGGTGTCCCACGGGTCTCTGCGTTCACCTATATCACGGCCATGGTGACCCACAGGTCTTTGCAGTCATCTGTATCACGGCCATGGTGTCCCACAGGTCTCTGCGTTCACCTGTATCATGGCCATGGTGTCCCACAGGTCTCTGCAGTCACGTGTGACGGACCTGGGGGTTGTCGCACGCGTCTCTCTTTGTTCTCTTATTTTCTGTCTCTGTGCTACTGTTTGAATAATTTCCTTTTTTGTTGTTGTTTTTGAGATGGAGTCTCACTTTGTCACCCAGGCTGGAGTTCAGTGGTGCGATCTCAGCTTACTGCAACCTCCGCCTGCTGGGCTCAAGAGATTCTCCTGCCTCAGACTCCCCAATAGCTGGGATTACAGGCGCCTGTTCCGATGCCCAGCTAATTTTTGTTGTATTTTTAGTAGCGATGGGGTTTCACTATGTTGGCCAGGATGGTCTCGAACTCCTGACCTCATGATCCACCCTCTTGGCCTCCCAAAGTGCTGGGATTACAGGCGTGAGTGAGCCACCGCACCCTGTCCTTTATTTTTCTGAGACGGAGTCTTGCTCTGTCGCCCGGGCTGGAGTGCAATGAGGTGATCTCGGCTCAGTGCAGCCCCTGTCTCCCGGGTTCAAGCAATTCTGCCTCAGCCTCCTGAGTAGTTGGGATTAGAGGCACCCACCACCACGCCCGGCTAATTTTTGCATTTTTAGTAGAGACTGGGCTTCTTCATGTTGGCCAGGCTGGTCTTGAACTCATGAGCTCAGGTAACCCAGCCACCTCAGTCTCCCAGAGTGCTGGGATTGCAGGCATAAGCCGCCGCACCCAGTCCATTCTGTTTTTTAAGCAAGTCATTTGGCAGGGTTAATTTGCGTTAGACACACGTTCTGGACTGTTCAGCATGCCTCTTCACTGGCTGCTGGTCATCAGATTATTTTCCCGTTACTGTCTGTTTGAGTCTGAAATTGAGGTGCTGGTGGGAGTTACACTCTTCCCCCTGCTCACCTGAGATAGAGTCTTCTTCTGTCGCCCCGGCTGGAGTGTAATGGCGCTGTTTCGGCTCACTGCAACCTCCACCTCCTGAGCTCAAATGAATTTCCTATCTCAGCCTCCCAAATAGCTGGGATTATAGGCACACGCCACCACACTCAGATGATTTTTGTATTCTTAGTAGAAATGGGATTTTACCATGTTGGCCAGGATGGTCTCGATCTCTTGACCTCGTGATCCGCCCGCCTGGGCCTCCCAAAGTGCTGGGATTACAGGCATGAGCCACCACGCCCAGCCCAGAAGTTAAACTCTTAAGAGCCAGTTCAGGGATGCCTGGGCCTTTAGAAACAGGATTCAGGCGTCATGATCCACATTATATTTTGATGCTTCTATTTCCCTGCTACCTGAACTGACCTTATTCTCAGGTGTGGTTCCCATTGTGGTGACCGAGGTGGCACCAGAAACCCCAGGCACACGTGATTTCTGTGGGAAGCCTGAGTCTTGCCCAATGGTTCCAATAAAACTCCTGGGTAAACCTGGTCTCTGGGTCTTGTGCCCGCACCTGAATCAGGAGCTGCTGAACAGAAGGGGTTTTCTGGTTGGCTGGGCCTGGGTCCCTTGTTCAATTCAGTAGCAGGGCGGGCCTCATGGAGAAGGAACAGCAAGAGGGAGGACCCTGTGGCTGGCTGGGCGCAGCCACCCAGAGGCATGAGCGTCCTGTTTGTGTGGGGTGAGCACGGAGGTCAGGAGGGCAGTGTTGGAACGCTGTCCCTCTTAGGCTGAGGAATCTGAAACCAGGGGCGGCAGTGGGGAGCCTTAGCGTTTTTTTTTTTTGTTTTTTTTTTTTAAGCTGGAGTAGAGACATGTTTCAGGGAGGTTTGATTGTTGGAAT